ATTTTGCCTTAGAGAGAAGATCTCGTCGGATTCCTTGTGGGCGGAGCCATCACAGCTCGACTCACAGCTCATTCGGGACTACTTCTACAAGTTTCTGTACCAGCCCAAAGATAAGGATTACCCAGATCTATGCCAGCTGCCCAACCTCACAGAGCAGACCTTGCTAGAGAACCTGCGGGCAAGGTTCCAGCGGGGTTACATCTACACCTATGTGGGTTCTATCCTCATCTCAGTCAACCCCTTCAAGTATTACCCCATTTACAATCCCAAGTATGTTAAGCTGTACCAGAACCATCGGCTGGGTGAGCTGCCCCCGCACATCTTCGCCATTGCTGATGCAGCCTACCACTCCATGCTCAAGCAACGGCGAAACCAGTGCATCGTCATCAGCGGAGAGAGTGGCAGCGGAAAGACCGAGTCCACCCTCTTCCTCCTGCACCACTTGACTATGCTCAGCCAGAAGGGGTCTCATGGGAGCGGAGTTGAGCAGACCATACTCAGTTCAGGGCCTGTTTTAGAGGTGAGTTGTGGTGGTGGTGTTCTCCTCCTCCTTTTAGCAGGGGGGGGGTTGACTAGACTCTTTGGGAGAGAAGTGTTGGGAGGGTCCTTTTAGAGGAGGAAATAATGTATTGTATTATGTTGTGAGGGGAGATTCTATGGAGTTCAGTCTTGAACCCCCTAAGAACTGCTAAATCCTCCAGCTTGTGTGACTCCCAAGTTGCAAAAATTATGATTTTTCATGTCTCACTAGGACAAGGTTTGAGTGCAGGCATTTGCACCAGATAATCTATATTTCCTTGTCATAAGTCAGATGTATAGTTTGTCAGTAAAGTGCAAGACTGTAAAAGTTATTTCAGTATTGGTCATGGTTGAATGAAAATGGGAATCCACTATTATGATGATTAATGTATTGATAATTAAAAGACAATATTGTGGCCAGTAGTTACTGCTTCATAATATTTTTTGACACAAAGATAAACTTAGGAAAACATTATTTGTCGGCTCAAGCAAAGTGGTGAAGCTATGGGAGATGATGATTTCGTGGGTGTGGCTAAAACTAGGCAAGTAGTACCAAATATGCTAGTGTTCATTCCGCAAACAGTCATAATGGAAAAGTTATATGAGGAATTCCTGTCATTTTTTGACAGCATAATGAATAGGACAAAGTGCACATTTTGAAATTAGCCAGTCATGGCAGATAGCACTTTTGGGGTTAATGAAATGCAATTATAACAAAGGGAGTTAACTTGTTATCATTTGAGGAACAAAAATGGGTCACTTCATAGGTGCTAAAGAGGATTTTGTTTTGATTGCGGATAAAAGGAGATTTTTACCATATAAGATTCTATGAGTGAAGTTCTTGATGACGAAAAGGTGGAGGTTTATCTGTAATGGACTGGACTTTCACTTTTATTAATGCTTGTAGGCCTGTTTTCCTTCTTAGTAACAAGAAATAGAAATCCCCCAAAGTGTTTGCAAATGCCTAATTTTTAGTTTTCCATAGACAGATTACTTGTTGCTCCCCCCCTTTCCCTCCTATACTTCTTCCTCTCTACTCTGAAGAAATCCAGGAGGATTTTGAAACTAAACCTATTTTGCTGTATTTTTTTTTCTAACGATTCTTCTCCATTGCAATGAAAAAGAGAAAAAAAAACCCTAAGTATTAGTAAAAGGAACACACACGATTTTGAATTGTGGCTAGCAGTTTATTGTGAGGGTTAAAGAGAACTCTTAGATAGGTAGAAATGTAATTAGCTTATATTTGAATAAAAGAGCTAGAGAAGGTATTGAATTATAATAAGTGATATTATGAGTAAATTACACCATACACAAATAATTGATTGTCAGTAGTTGGTGTGCTGACAGAGGATATAGTATTGCTATGTATACTGGGATTTTCCTCAAATGATAGGTGTTGTTGATAGTGTTAATTAGGTTTCCATTAAAAAGTTGTAGTTATTTTTCTTGGTTAAAAAAAAAAGTTGCATACTGGGGTTTCCTGTGAGATTACCCACCAAAATGCCATTGTAGATCTTCCTTTCTTAAATTATTTTTGGTTGTTACTTGCTAACATTGGTTGTACATCCTTTCATTAACCATATTTACATTTAGGTAAATGAGCAAAGTTACCTTTATTATTGGAGGGGTTATTATTTAAGATGTTTAAAATTCTTTCTGGATAAGCTTGTAATGACGTATTCTTTTGGAATTTGTTTGTTAACTAAGAAAAGAATGTATTAAAGGGACTGTCTCCTCTGCAAACTAGGAAGATTCCCCGTTAGGAATATTGCATATTTGAATACTTTGGTCTTTGCTCCTTTTCCTCCTGAATTTATTTTGTAGTAAAAAAAAAAAAAAATGGTGGTAAACTGTTAAGCCATATTTATTTACTCCCCCTCCCCCCTTTTTTCTGTGAAGTTCTGTTGCTCTATTTCTGAATTTGTAGAGGTGGTTCTGCAGTCAAGTCCTGTCTGAGCACAAGTGTAAACTTTGATTAATG